CTCTTTTTCCTCAGCAACAACTTGTGGGAAGAGTCATTATCAGTTATATTTAATTACACATGACGAAGTAGTTGAGAACTTTCAAAAGAAATTTCTTAATAGAGCAAGGCTAAGATAGGCAGGCAGTCTGAAGGAGTCGGCATTCCAGGTTGGATAAAGATAAAATGCAATAATTAGTTTTTTTTAAGGGAAGAAAAAAACCAAGTTACAGCTCATGGGATAAAGTATATTATTGTTGCAGTCTAGCAATTTATAAGGCAAGCCTACGGAAATGCCCCAAACGCTAGGGCTCAAATAGAAGTGCTGGCACTGCCGGCCCTCGTAACAGTGCCCAGCCATGTTGGAACCTGGGCCAAAAGTAAAACAGATCCTGCCTTGACTTAAATTGTAAATGTTGTACATTAGGGGTGTCGAACTTAATCAGAGAAGGGGCCAAAATCTAAAATCCAGCCTAAATCGCGGGCCGAATGGTTTACTGAACAGTCATAAACTGTCATTGTGATGGAAACGCAGCGGAGTGCAGTGATGACAGCGCGGTGAGGGCCACATTGCAAGGCCTGGCGGGACGGATTTGGCCCGCGGGCCTTGTGTTTGACACATGTGTTGTACATCATGGATGTCTTTGCATTGATTTTGTTATTTTTGAAAATATCGTCTTAAAACATTGCCTTGATTTCTGAGTTCTTGGTATCCCCTTGCATTTTGCACCCACAGAGTACCCAGTAACCTCACTCTAGTCCTGGCCCTGCTTACTAAGTCAGCTCCCTGAACTTCAGTGACCTCACATGTAAAACTGAGGCAATAATAGTAATTAAGAGGGTTAATGTGAGAAAACATGTGTAAGAATGTCTTAATTGTAAATGTTCACATGTAAATAGATTTACAAAGCATTATAAAATTCCTAGGTGAAGTTCTAATACTAAACACTGTATTCGAAGATGTAAGGCTTTTATGGAAAGTATAAGTCCTATGACTGACAATAGAAATTGAATCAAAGGCCTTAAAGAGAGATGCAGAATTTAAGACACACCCACCTCCACCAAACCTTATTTATTAATAAATAAAGAAAAAGATATACAACTACAGCCAACACAAGCAATTTCCTTTCCAGGTTTTAGAATTATTCTCTACTTGTAAATTCATTTTGTCTTCGGGTTTTCTCTTTACAGCTCCCCAAAATAGTCAATTCAGGAATTGAAATGTTAATTTAAGAAGAAACTTTTAACGTTTTCCTCTTTTAAAAAAATTACAGCTAAAACAACAATGCAGAAAGCCCACAAAGAGATGCACTGTTCAGGAAGACGGTTCCTGAGGAAGTTGAGGATGTAAACCTTTTAATCCAGGTAGGGAGACTTTCTAGGCAGAAGGAAGGTGAAATGCCTCCTGTTCTTCGAGCTAATGATTGTTTCCGAGCTGGTTAGAATTCAGCGCTAATTGCATTTTAAAACACCACCTCTGCCATCCTTTCCTCTCTCAGGATCTTACATCAATGTTTTGCATTTTCAATAAAACCTTTGCACTTCACCTTTCTCACTGAACAGATCCTGAACTTCAGAGGTGCGGGAGGAATTCAGTTCAGATCCTTTCTTCCCCCGGAAGGTTTTGATCTGGTGGCCACAAGGCTAACCTGCAGGAAAGGCTGCCCTGCCCAGTTTCAGAGGGGAGAGAGACAATTAAAATGGGTATTTTTTTAGTGGCTCAACCCAGGCTTGTCCACTCCCAACAGAGAGTCATTAAACAACTTTCCAGTGCCATCCGAGGAACTTATAACAGAATCAATTGATTCTCATCCTATGCTTTATTAGTTGTGATTTAGGAGACAGAATGGCCCTGTTGACACAGCTGTAACATGTCAGGACCTGCAGCACGATCGGCTCAGAGCCTCCAAGTTGCAGTCCATGCTCCGCAGAATCAATCTGAACTCGAAAACGTTCCCTCTAGGAGACACGCACATATCCGTGGGCACAAAGTACTTCTCACTTCTCGTGCAACTGCAAATAGTAGTCTCACTGGAGGTAAGTTGCAAGTTCACCTTCCAAAAATCGGCCCTGACTTGCCATTGCTCTCAGCATGCTCACGATGGGAACAGAGGGCTGCAAATGCCTCTTAACTAGGTACCCAACGTGGGTGAATGTGCTGCGAGTCAGATCGCGGGCTCGGCAAGTGGGAGGCGCTGGCTGTTTAACATGCGTTCAGAGCATTGCCAATCTAAAATGGCTGCTCAGTAATACTTTAATTGCAGTTTCATGGAAACAAATTGCTCTTTAACTGCAATAAGCATTTCTGTGACTTGGCTGGACTGACAATAGGTTGTGTTAGTAACAATGCAAGAAGCCACGTCAACTTGCAAACAGTCTGTTTCCAGTGGCCCCTCAACCTGAGCCATAGGTGCGCAAGCACCTGGGAATGGAATTCCCCGGTGGAGTCATTGGGGGAAATAATCACTTTTTGACCTAAATGTTGAGGCTACATGATCTATAGCTCTTAGATTCACTGTTATACAATTTATTAGCTCTGAGAAATATTTTGTATAAACATGGTGCACGTTAGAATCTTACTATATTGACATTTAAAAGCTTCATTTTATTAGATGGTTAGCTGTTTCAAATATCAGTGTTAATGAGGGCAAAAGGAATTAAAGTCAATATTAAAAGGATGACAATTTCACAGGCTTCTTTTCGGTGTTTTCTTGTTAATAAATGAGAGACTTTGGAGTTTTCTCAGTCTGTATTTCCTAAGACACTACAGTCTGTGTTAAACTACTTCCTAATAAATTATGAAGAGATGGAAATAGTTTCTTGTGGCAAACGGTTTGGGTTGGAAAGGCTTCTCTCAGGCCCGCCTGCCTTTTGGGGTAAGTGTAGCAAGGCAGGTAAAAAAAACACCCAACCCTTTCTCAAAGGAGGATCTTTGTACAAAACCGTTTCATCAGCAAGAGTGGCAGTTTGCATAATTGGGACATGTATACGTATCATAAACATTTTTTTTAATCAGTACAGCAGGGCTCAGTTACATTTGCTTTTATTTTTAATTGCACTTGCTTGTAGGGACAGGGGGGCCATCTTGCTCTGTGACATGGGTTATATTAAATAAGGCCTTTCAAAAGAACAGAGTACATCTCACTAACATCACAAATGCAGTAATGAAAGGTGAACAAGCTGGTGGGTGTTTTTTTTTGTTTTTTTCTCTCAGCAATGTTGGGGTTGGGGGAGGAACATAATCACTGCTCACATCAGAATAAACCTGAGTGTTTTTAGTGGCTTTCTATCCACAGAGCATCCCCATTAGAGCTGGGTTTTATTGTTTGAAATGCCTCTGGTTTCAAGAAAGTGTTTTACCTAAAGCAAGACTACTACTTAAATATGTCCTATTGTATATTCATAGCTCCATTAGTCCTTCTCCAATTTAGCACATCAAAGAGAAGACTTCATCACTTGCATGTGGATTATACTAACATGAGTGACATTTGTAATCTTATAGGTCTGCAACTTAAGAAATGCTTTTAGAAGCTCGTTATTAAATAGGCAGCAGTGCTTGAGGAACCAGCCGTATAATAGTTCATTTAAAGTCTTTAATAACCTTAGCCCTCCACATCCCTCAATGCCACACTGAATTACTTACTGAAGTTATTAACTGTCTCCCTTTGAATGTCTACCCTATATGGGACATGAGTGCTTATGCCAAAAAGGATAGAGCAGATGCTTGCATTCTTATTAACATTTCCCCTTTTCCATCCCGGAGAGTCCAAGTTCCCTTACAGTATCTTAAAAGAAAAATAATGTCAGAGCCAGAACGAGTTCCTAGAAATTCCCCAAGGGTCTAACTCTAAATAGATATTATTTATGTGATTTTGTTCATTTTATTTTTGTCTTAAGCACTAATAAAACTATTCACGTTTACTCGCTGCCTTTTAGTTCTCCTCCCAGAAGAGTGCAGTTGGAGCAAGTGGTTCTTCCTCCCGGCCTGGAACCTGGAGGCAGGCAGTGGGCACAGATAGCACAGAGAAGCTAAGCTGACTGCTCGCCGAGCTGTGCCAAAGCCCGGTCTCTCAATAGAGCGAACCTATTCCTATCCTCCAGAGCTCTTTTGGAACAAGAGGGGGGAAAATGCCATTTTTAGAACGGAAATTAAAGGTAGCATTAAAACACCTGGCTTTATTAAACTGTGACAGGCAGGAGTTGCAGTTGAGATCTGCTCATGTATTGCAAGCCTGGCAGAGCAGCCTCTTTGGGTTTCCTCCTTCCAGCCCTGGCCCCACGGTGAGTCTTTGGCCTACACACACTCTCCTCAGGCCACCTCTGCGGGCACTGCAGAAGCCGTGGCTGGGGATAATCTACCGCCTAGAACTAGCAACCGAACATCTCAAGACTTCAACTAAATGAATTCCAAACCCTCCTCCAAACATATGGAAAGGCAGAGCCTACAGAGGAGTGTACGAGCAAAACAAAACCAACAGGAGTCTAGAAGCACACCAGGAAACGGCTGCTTCACCATGGGGTCCCTGAGAACCAATGGAACCTCAGAACATGTACAGGTATGATTTGGCATACTGCGTCCGCCAAAGCTATAAACTTGCTAAGAGAACAAGATAGTTATGCCACATTCTCTAACATGTTTTTCATCCAATACCCAAGGCTTTCCTAGTGAGAAAAAGAGAGTAAGCGAAAATAGCTGAAGAATCAAACAAATATTTATATATAAACACAAAAGGTTCACTGTGATATTGGAGAAGTGTAATGAAGTGCTGTTAACAGAATATTCTGAACTTAGAAGAGGGACTCCGTCAGACACATTGCTTTGTACCCCTGCCAAAAATGGCATGGTTAAGTAACTTGAAGAATACCTTATTGGCCCAAAACTAAACATACACACTACCTCTCACAACTCCTGAAATTTAAAGTGAACTTGGTATCAAATAAAAAAATAAATAAATAAACCCCTACCTTTTCCCAAAGTACAGAAGAGAAAAAAAACAATGTTTAAGCCCAAACTCCATCGAATATTTTTTCTTTTAAGTTTTTATTATTTAAATACACCATACTAGAGCAAATGTCTCTGAAAATATCACAAATAAAAGATTTTTTTTTTCTTCATTCAGCAAATTAGAAGTAGGGGGAAATTTCTACACAGTAGCTGCTATGAGCCTGTTTTTTTTTTGTTTGTTTTTTTCCGATTTTTTTTTTTTCCATTTTTTGTTCTTTTTCTTCGCCATGGGAGTAGCAACATTAGGACGAAAACACTTACATGCATACATACATTGTATTTTACAGAGATACAATAAAAGTGTTTGTGATAGAATATCACAAAAGCCACATCTCTTTATCCCATGTTCAGTTTTGATTGAAACACATTTCCTTACGACACTTAAATATACAAAGAGCAAATAGAATGTTGTTAAGGTAAAACACAGGGTACAAACTCTGGCCAGTGCCCTGCTAATTGTTAATGAGGGTAGAAAGCAGATTTGAATGCTTCTTTTAATTAGCTTCATTAGTCATTTCCCTCCTCCCCAGCTCCCTCCCCCCCACCCCCCAAATGTCCTCTGGTGGATCTTTTTTCATTTTCTCTACAGTCTCCCATTAGCCCAGGTTCATGGAGTCCTTAATGTTCATATTCAGTCATTTTAATACACCAATAAATGCAGGAAGGGCAATCAAGACTAAAGAAGGTGCAATGGCATGGAGCTGGCACTGGTGCTAGCTACAAAGGTGACTTGTCTACTGAAGACACATGGGATCCACCTGTGATGAGCAAAATCTGAGATGAAGGCACGCATTCTGCATTACTCTGACCTTTTAGCAGACCTGCAAGAAATAAAAACGGGCATCTTAGCCAAAGTGCTGATTTTGAGAGATATTAAACTCAAACATGGCTGCCTTTGTCTTCTCTACATTCACTAATCTTCTTTTATTAGATTACTTTCCAACTGTGACTTGATGGAGGCTTTCTGCGCTACTTACTCCGACAGGGAAGAACTAAAGCATAACGTTGTCTGCAGTTTTACTAGCAGAGAAAATGAGACAATAAATGGACTTTCGGAAAGTTTCTGGTGCAAAGTTCTACAATGAACTGCTTAACTCTGCGAAAAGTTTTTTCCTGTAAGGAATTAAATTTAACATCTTGCCTAGTAGTCATATTCAAAGGCGCACACTCCGAGCCATGTTCCTTCCCAGGAAGTTTTGGGTTAATATGCTCAACTGTATAACCTTTGGCAAATTACTCAACCTGTCTGTGCCTCAGTTTCCTCATCTTTAAAGTGGGGATAACATGGCTGTCATAAGGATTACATCCATGTGTATGTATGTGTATGTATGTATGTATATATATACACACACGTACGTATATATCATATGTATATACATATACGTATGTGTATATATATACACATGTGTGTGTTTGTGTGTGTGTGTGAGTGTGTGTGTGTGTGTGTGTGTGTGTGTGTATATATATATATATATATATATTTCAACATTGCCTGGCACTTAATAAAACCTAAGCAAATACTGGCAGTTACCATGACTATTCTTATTATTCCCACATGTCACCTATTCACCTATGTCCTTCTTGATATATAGGTATGTTACCTGCATGAGTATGTGTGTGCAGGTGTTTACATGTCTATCCGTACACATACACACATATGTACATATAAACAGATACTTTACATCTATTGTTTCCTATCTGTTGCAACTTGATACTACGTAATCTGCATATGTAAATCAAACACATGTAATGTGTTAATGATTTATGATCAGTTGAAAGAATGTAGTTCAATGCAAGTCTAATTTTAAAGTCTAAGTTAGAAATGGTAATCCACACAGTCGTCAAATATCATCCGTTTGCAATTACCAAAATGAAATAATATTAGATTTTTATGGCTTTTAAATGACATTTTGAGCTTCCCGGGAAGTTCTCGTTCCACCCTTTCTCTAACTTACCGAGAGCCTGAAGTCTATTAGGAGCTGCAACCCCCCACTTCCAAGCTAATTAAAGTGGTGGAGGCTTAATTCCCCAGAGTGGAAGCTCAGTGTGAGCAAGGTAATTTGTCTGTCCGGAACAAAGATGCAGCAGCGGCCAGCGAGCATATTTAATAAATGAGCATCAAATGCCCTCTACGATGGACACACACGCTACACCAATTATGTGACTGCAAGGAAACCGCGCGGCGATATGTAAACTAGGACACGCGCTTCGTTTCCCTCCAACCAAGGTGGCGTGAGGATCCCTGATGCTGCTGAAAGGCAGAGAATTCTAGGTGGAACCATCACTCTTGAGAGGAAGGGAAAAAATTCCACAGCAGGCAAAACTTTATTTAAAAACAAAATTAGCCACAACTTCTGATTGTATGGACATAACTCTCTTCTAGATGGAAGGTAATATTCTCCTAAAGAGAGCGGTGCCTCTTTGAATATCACGTTGTAGGGTCACGTTGTGGAGTCTATATCACCAGTGGCCTTAGACCTCAGTCAAGAGCTGGCATGATTGAAAAGCTGAATGTTACTGTTTTTCTCAGAATCTACAAGAGCCAATGATGCAGAGCAAGAACTAAACTGCACACCCCAGACAATGGGAACAAATTCCAGGGGAATAGAAGTTCAAAGGGACCCGATGATGGGGTCTATACTTTCCATACAATTAGCTGCCTTTAAAAGAAGAAATGTACAAAAAAAAAAAAAAATCAACTCATTACCTCTCAGGCAGAGGATGCTTGTGTATATTTATTATGCATCATGCACAAAAATGATAATTGGTTCTACAAATAGAAGGAACCGGCCAAAATTAATGTCCAATTTTCCCTACCAAAAATATGGAGCGCGCAAGAGAGAAGAAAATAAAATGGAGCCACGTGTCATTTCTCCCCAGCTCAGCTCCCCCAGAAAAGGAACACTGGAGGCTCTGGGGAACACAATTTTAAAGCGTTCCCCAGATCCAGAAAGCAGTTTCTGTCCCACCAGGAAGTGTTTTCATTACCGCTCCCCCCTTGCCCTCTCATTAATATCTCTCTGGACCACATTCAGCTTGCCCAAATCCTCTATTTACAAAAACTACCTTGTGAATGGACTGTGCTCATGGTGAGCTGAGCACCAAGGGCGAGACATTTATACCAACAGGGAAATGTTCTTAATTAACATCACTCCCCCCGCCCCACCCCAAACCATAGCTTCTCACCAAACATCTGACAAAAACATATCCTTAAGTTATATTTCCTTATGCCTTTTAAGAGCTATTAATTTTTGAAGGCCACCTGTCTCTGTTGGCTTCCAACATTAAGAAAATATACACTGGTAGGTTCTTATTCACTGCCTAGTCTATTTTGTATTCTAAAATGAACACCCTACCACTTCTCACTCACCACCACTGGGTAAAAGTTATTTAAAAGACAAACAAACAAACAAAAACACACTTGGATGAAAGGCATAATCCATGCAATTTTGTTAACACGTAAAACCAGATTTCTTTTTTCAGTGTTGCTCTGTTCCCTCCCTAAGAATTCTAAATTTATACCACATTATATTCAGAAGGATGGGACTGAGACCCTGCTCGTATTTCTTGCATGTCCTCTGCACTTGGCCCCTAGCTAACACAGCCACTACCTGCATCCTCAGTGCTTCACAGTTTGGCTACAGTTCCCATCTTGTCTCCATATCCTTCAATTCTCACCATGCACGTTGCTGAGCTGTAACAATCATTTTTTATACTTTGCTAAGTCAGGAAAGAAATGGTATAAAACCAGCAAAAAAAAAAAAATTAAAGAGAGAATTTGGGGGGAAACTAAGCTTTTATATTGGAAGGGGTGGGAAAGTGAACCAATATTTTATTCCTAGCTCGTTTTTCTTTGAGCTACCAAGTAACTACAAATGTCTCTGCCTCCAAATTGAAATGGGGATCTCTACATATTTATGCGACCCATTCATTGTTCACAACTCTACCCTGTAGATTCATTTCATTACAACTCAAACCCATGAAAATCTGTATGTATTTATATGTACAGCAGCTTGAAATGCCTCATCAGTGGTGACTGGTTAATTTGCAATAAAATATTTGACTTCTATTCTTAAAATGGTCTTCTGTGTAGCTTCCCCTTGTTAGTAAATTAAATAAAGTGCATGTATTATGATGTACTTAACAGGTAGTTATAAAGAAATGAGAAATACATTTAAAATTATCCCATAAACTTGAGTAAGGGAAAATGATAAATATGAGCATTAAAAATACGGTAGTGTGATTCTAAATTGTTAAAAGTTTACAAACATTAGTCATTTTCCCCACAGGAAGCACTGAAACAAATTGTATTACAGAAGACAAAGCAGCTTAATATTTTTTTCCGAAACCTTTGAAGCTTGCTAAATTTCTATGTGCAGATAAATGTTGTTTTTTTTGTGTGTGATCCTTACAACAGACATTAATGAAGTTCCTATTGTAAATCCATAAAGAATTACCAAGTGAAGTGTGCACTTTTTGTTTCAATGCAATAACTCAGTGCTGTGTGATTGCCTGGGTTAATGATGAAAAAGTCAAACATACTATCAGAGCTGATGGAAAAATCTATCACCAATCTGAAATTAAAATTCATCTGTGGTCAATAAGATTTAATATCCATGCAAGTGGCGCTGTAAAGAGTAAATGAATCAATGTCATCAATACATAATCAGTATGAAATATGATGTGAATAAAATTATGCGCACGAGTCATACATTTCACTCTTTTCTGGGCCAGTGTGGAATGAACAGTCTCTTAACTGAAGGTTGACAGTAATTGTTACAAATTAGGCACAGCAGTTATCAAAATGCACTCACTTGCATAGCTATAGGACTTATTAAGGAGATTAAAATAGATCTAAAACTATCCAGTACTGGGGGTGCTGAACAACTGTTGATCACTAATTTTCCCTCTCAAGTGCCTTCTAATACCACATGACTTGTGCACTGGTGTCATTTCCTCATGTCTAACACTGGTCCAAAAACTTTCCAGTTGCAGATCAAGAATTGGGATCCATAATCTTTAATGGAGCTATCAGTGGCCCAAAGTCACTGGAAAGAGCTAGAACTTTGTTTTAAAAGTCATAGCTTATTCAAATTTTTCGGGACTACCTTTGGAATTACAGAATGCTTTGTAAAAACTGCTCTTCTAAAGCATCGGTGTCCAGGCTGCTATTATCCATTCCGAAATCACTCTTTCCTGACAAAGACAATTCCCTTTCCTACCATAACGTTCTAATGTTCCTCCCACAATAACCTATTCACATCCACTGTACTTCTGAATATCAAAACTATCAAATGGGATTAAAAAAAAAAAAAAAAAAGCTGGTTATATAGAAGTTTTATGCTTTGCTCAACTCCGCATGTGACAGTCCAACATCAGCAAAGCTACAAACCTAAGTCGGGATTTTTTCTAATTAGAAGAGATTCACAATTTAATCAGCTCTCCTATTTCTGAACCCTGTATGGATGGGTAGTCTGCATTTCTTTACAAGGGCATGCAAACATGCAAGCACCCAGGAAAACCCCACTGCTCAGTCCAAAACGCTGGAGCCTCCCTACTTGGCTGTAATACAGCTTATTAGCAACTGCGGGGTCTTTACCTTCTGGTCTGGCAGTAGTGGATTGCTCTGAAGTGAATTCAAATGGCCATTGATGAGAGCTGTAGGTCTATCATGTTCACAAAATAAACTGCCATTGATGTAGTGAAACCGATCTCCCGGGACCAGGCGATTCCGGCAGGTAGAGCATGTAAAACACTGAGAGAGAAAAAAAGCAAGCCCACTGAAAACAAGTACAAATTAAGTCTTTCTTTTGGTCACAAGTTTATAAACTGGTTTTAAGCGGGTATCTGTCAAGTACAGAGCTACTTAGGGTTCAGTGTTTTTCCTTCCTTCCAGGTGATTGCAAAATGCACTATATTGGATCTGCACAAAGTGGGAAACAGACGAACATGTGTACTTGTGGGGGAGGGAGAGGGCTGTACGGGGCCGCGCGGGGTGGGTGGGTAATCATCACTGCCAATCCAGTCTCCATGGATTCCTTTGGTGTTTGCGGCTTGAGAAAACAGAGTTCCTCCTATGGAGAAAGGCTTTGCCCCAGGTAGGAGAGGGAGGGTTCTCTTGAAAAGAGGGGAGCCAGAGCTACCTTAAGATGATACACATTGCCTTGGGCCCTCATGACGAGTTCGCTCGCAGGAATCGACTGTCCACACGCGCTGCAAGCACCGCTATTCCCAAATAACCTGAAACAAAGATGACAGGGACACCCATGAGTCAGTCCTCCTGAACCACAGAGAAAGACAGAAGCAATCCCCCCTCCTGGCCTCTGGCCCTCCCTCCTGAATGCATCTGACAGAGACTAAAAGCTTAGGTAGGGGCCGGCACCTTAGGAGTGATTTACATAACCTGGGAAAACCCTTTTGCGGGGTCACAGCTAACTTTTGCCCACCGCCGAGGAAGAGGATGCCCAGATTTAATCAAAATATTGACTTACATCTCTAGCAAATACTAAACAATTCTGTTCTACACACATTTTTATCAGATTACCGGGTTCATCGTAAAAAGAAAAAGAAAAAAAAAGATACCATCCATGACTGGAGTTCAAATGCATTGTGTCCTTGAAATTATATGAAGAACTCTTTTGTACTTTAATCATATCTTGAGATATGAGTCATCAAAAGGGTTAAGAGGATTTGATTGTATATCTAAGAAGACATCATGCTCAGTGTATTGAAACTCCCGTAAACCTCCATCGGTGCAGACTTTCCATTAGAAACTCTCTGCTATCCAGGTTGATATATAATGTGTATGGGTTAACCTTTTCAATCATGGTGTCAACACTTAAGATTTGCCTCTGCTCATCTCTTTCATCCTAACCTTCTCTCTCTCTTGATAATGAAATGCTTGCTCCAACTTCCCTCTATCTGCTCCTGAGTCCACAATTTAGATTACTTCATCTCTGCTAGCAACAAACTGAATGAAATTTCGATTTGAGCAGAAAGTAATTTACCGGGATCTGGACCCATTTGTCATCATATCTCTCTGGGTGTTTGCTGTATCACTGCAGTTTTCCTATGCAATCAAATGAGACCACAACATCTGCCATGGGGGAGGAGGGGGAGAAGGAGAAGGCTGCAGAGGAGGGGAAAGCTCAAGGAAGTGTGGTGCACTGAAGGAAAAATATATACACAATTCCTTCTATCTTTCCACAGGCGCCACAAAACATTTTAATGAATGCCGAACTTTGGCTTTTTATGGAATCAGTAGACTCAAGCTGGGAAGCTTTATTTGCTTTCGGGCTTCCATCTTTAATATCCACAAATATTTATTAAACAGACCAGAATGATTTCACATTGAAAAGTGGTATCAGAACAAGCAAGCAGAATCAGAGAGGCACTTTCAACCCTGAAAAACAAGGTAATAGGACTTACAAATTAACATACCGGTGCCGTAATAAATATTAATATTTACATTTCCTCCTTGTTCAAATAAAGTCATAAAATGCAGTTTGTGTCAAACCGGGAGACATGTTCCTATAGAACACCCCATAATCTGAATGATTGCGGCATGCCTCTATATAAAAATAATTGCTTTGAGTTTTCAGAATCTGGTCTTGCAGAAGAGGCTTGTCATGTTCAAACTACTAATTTGCTGTCGCCACTTTATTGAAAATAGCCTGTAAGTTGTTATTAAATGTATCGACTGAACGACAGGGAGAGTAGTAAAACTGCCCCTTAAGATGGCTTTTAATAGGAAGCCCGAGAAACAAATTTTGCAGCAGCATCGATTTGAAGAGTTCAATCAAAACTCCATTTCAAAACTAATTAGTCTGAGATCCAGGACACATTGACACGTTCTTGCAGAATCAGAACAGTTACGGAGAGAAAGCTGAAATAATACACTGTCAGGACCTCTAGCCGTAGGACCACACAGTGTGGGAGCTCGGGGCGGCGGGCCTGCGTCTCCAGATGCTGGACCACTTCAGGAGCCCTGATGAGGACCGCCTGGTGCTTCACATGCAGCATCCCTCGAGCCTGAGCTGTCAGTGCTGCAGGCAGCAGGGGGTTCTCAGGAAGGCAGGGTGACCAGAGAATTCGTATGGCTATGGAAAGAGTTTCTGGCAAACACCAGGGCTATTCCAATCCCCAAGGTGGATACCATGTTCAAGAAATTAGGGTAGAAGTAAAGTTAAAAACCTGCCAATGTGTCCAAATACATGCTGAGGATAAGGGGGGAGGGGGTGTATGTGCAGAGAATAGGGGTGGGTAACAGAATCTTGCCAGAGCTAAGGACCAAATATCCTCCTCTACAGCAACCCAGAAGTATTCTAATGGATAGGAGCCTATAATTATGGCTGCCACTACCAACAGGTACACACAGAGACGCGGCATCTCAAAAATACCCTTTCACAGTATCGATCTGATTACCTGCCAAAAGTATTCATTTATTTAACAGTTCACCCCAAGGAAAGTCAGCTGTATGTCTTCAACACCTAAGTGTATTTTTATAATCAGGGGAGCCGTATGTAATCCGAAAGCTTTTTATATAAGCTTATTTTCTCCGATGCCACTTAACCTTTCGGGGAACATTCAGCCACAAAACCAGGGGATTCCTAAAGTGTCAAAAATTACAGTTACAAAGTTTGAAAATGACCAAGATCTCCCTAAGACAGAGGTGCTATTGAACATTACTAATGGAGTTTAAGATCTTTCCATGTCTACTACAGCTTTCAGGCTGCCTCCGAGCAGAACAACCTACATACATGTCTATACACATTTTAATCCCCTTTACCAGAGGCGAAGGCTACCATTAGAATTCAACCCTTTTTTTTCTGAAAAGTTGTTTCTTTTTCTTTCTCTACAGCAACGTTTCTGTGCACTAGAGAGTTAATTATCTAACCAGGGGGATTGTCCAGGACAGTGTTTGATTTAAAAGACTCGAGGCTTTAGGTGCTCAATTAAGTAGCTATCGGTCTCAGGCCGGACTATAATGGGCTCTTTTCTCTTTAACTCAAGCAACGGGGAGATATACCCCAGGTCAGGCTAATTAAAGCCAGGGGAGTCTTTAATTGTGATGACAGAATCGGTTTCAGTTTCCTTTCTTTGGGTCCTTGGTCCGAGAAGGTCGTTAATATTTCAGCATTTGGGCAATGCAATCAATCACAAACATCAAGAGGTTCCTTATATGGGAAAAAGGGGAAAGAAGGGAAGAAAATCCCACCAAACCTCTTGCACTTTCAAGGTGCTTTGCTCCTCTATGACGAGCACCATGTCTTGTGAGTGCTGCTTGCCCGCTCAGCTTCAGCTCTCCTTGCTGACTAAGGAGGAGAGCAGGCCGGATTTTTAGTTTTAGTAATAACGCTTAGCATCTTTCCGTAACTTCCATGACCAATAGGTGGGCTTATTTTCTACCGCATTATTACTTCAAGCAAAATACTGGCACTATGGAGCAGCGCTGGCTGTGTTTTTCCTTTCAGGCAAGGAGAGGTGTGTTTCTAAGAGTGTAGCTGAAAGGTATACATTTGTACCTCCAGGTAAATATCAGCAACCCATCTGAGGAGAAAAATGCACATCCACAGCTGCTGATCCAGAAGCAATTGGTTTTCCAGCAGGTTCCCATATTTAATCTACATTCTGCACCAGCTATATTAAATGTAACAAAGAAATGCAACCCAGAAATTACGCCTGGAGCCAAGTCCATTAAAGGTACTTTGGAATAACTAGAGACCAAGCACCTTAAAAGCACCAGAAGCTATTGATACTTAAGAGGGGGGCTGTGAATAATCGCAACGGCTGCATTAGAACGGGGAGGGAGAGGGGGGAGAAAAAAAAAATCAGCCAAATTACGCTTGGTTAATTCAGAGTAACAGATCTGCCCCCAAGTGAATTGGAGGCCTTGAATTAATTCTGTTATGACAAATCAAGATAAACGTTCCCCCTAAATTGCATGCGATTTAATTAATTTTTGAGATCCTGGGTTTTTTTTCTTCTCTCCCCCCCCCCCCCACAGCTAATAGTTCACATGCTCCCGTGCTGTCATTGTGCTTGAGTGGGCAGACTTCAAAGTGATATTAAATAACCAACTATTAGATTTACCTAGCACGTCCTATTGGAAAAGTGCCATTTAATTACCTAGCCTGTTCAATTAAAGGGACAGCGTTCTCTGACTGCAGCAGCTTGCTGTTGATTACCAGGGAAATGAACTGGCTGCCTGGCGGCGCCTCGGTTCCTAACGCTGCCCCCTCCCCCGAAACACCCCCCCACCGCCACCGATCCCCCCCCCCCCCAACCCTCCCGCCCGGAGGCGGGGGCGCGCTCACTGCGGCGGCTGCGGCGCCACGTGAACCGCCCGGGGAAACGCGGGGAAAGCGCCGCCGGCTCGCCGCTCCGGCCCTGCGCTCGCCCCCTCGCGGCCCCGGACGCCGGCCGGCGGGGCGCCGCCACCGAGGCCTCGCGCAGGGCTGGCCTCGAGCCTCGGTTCCACCCCGGCCCCGGCCCCGCAGGAAAAGGCTCCCCGGAGACCCCGCCGCGCTCCGGGTGCACGGCCTCGCCCTCCCCGGACCCGGAGCCCAGCCCGGCATCATGAACTTCCTCCTCCGCCGCACTTTCCGAGCCTCTCGCAGGGCCTAGGGTGGGGGTGGAGGGAGAGGGGTTTGGTTTGGAGGAAAGGGAAACGGTGTTTGGAAGCTCCTGGGTGGCGCTTGCATGGCGCTGGGGGGTCGTGGGGCTGGGGAGGACGGGGACAGTTTCAAGGCTGGCCAACTTTTGTAAAATTGTGGAGGAGGGGGTGGGGGGGACACAGACGTTGGCCCCTTTAAGATGCACTCTCCCCTCCTCTCCATCTCCACCCTTGCCTGCCTTTCCCTCCCTCTCTGAGAGGCCAATTTTGTTAATTAAATGTTTTGTTTGCAACGCAGCTCTCATTCATTGCGGACACGTCATTCGGAGCAGATCTAAGCCAGAGACCAGATCTCATTAGATAAAGCCCATCAGAACTGAAGAAAATGGAGGAGCCACTAATTAAAGCTTTTAATTGTGCGGATTCGCTGCAGCAAGGCAGCCGCTTTATCTGGAAATCTTGGAGAGGAGGCAGGAGCCCAGCTCTGCCCAATGCACATTGGGTCGCCCTGGGGAGAAGGGAAAAACTGTGCCCATACTACCACCAACGCCTGCCACACACACACACACACACACACACACACACACCCTTCTCCCGCTCTCCAACAGCGTCTTTAGCCAGGTCTTGGTTGTTTTAAAAAGCTCACAACCTCAAAGTCAGTTTCAAAGCCCTTAATAAAGCGCTCTGTGGTCCCAGCCAGGCCTTGGGGCCCAGGGGTCGGTCCCCTTCACCTGGTGGCCAGAGAGCGGACTGCTCCGCCCTTCAGTGACCCTCCATGGGGACTAGGAAGTTCCTCCAACAAGTGTCCTCCCTGCAGCGAGATTCTTTCCGGAGGAGGGGTACCCGAGAGGAAAAGGGTTGTGCAGGCCTCCCACCTTTCCACCCCTTTGGCATCTTGATGGGCACAGGGAGGAAAGGACTTCAGAGATTCCTTAAATTGGGGGGTGAAGACTGTCAGCTGCCGATAAGCCCTGAGCTGATGAGTTTGAGGCCATCCATTTGGTAGAGCTAGAACTCATCCCTCAGACACAGGTCTAAAAGGCTTTCCATGACAGCATCCAGTTCAAGAACAAGCCGGGCTCCAGCTTTCAAATTCAGAGGAAAAAGAAAAGGAAGGGCCCAATTAATAAGGCTCGGCCGGCACACACAAATCCTCCACAGCTCCGTTAAGCCACCCGAGAACAACAAATGGGCATTTATATCTGGTCTCAAGTGTAGGGAAAGGAGCGGAGAGTCCCAGGAACCCACTTGCCTAAACTTGTCCTGAGGGAATGCAAGTGGACCCATCTTCTTTTTAATTAGTGGTAATCAGAAGCAGGTTTTTTGAAGGCACTTGGGAGAAGAGATGAATCTGTACCATTCACCGTGTCTGAACAGCACTGTCAATTTTTCCACTTCAAACCACCGTCCTTTCTTACCACAGTTTTGTTCTCAATTTAATTACAATACTGTCAAAGCTCATGGCACCGCTTGGAAGGAGGACTAGAAAGCATTGCACTCATGCTCCTGCTGGTTTTCCAACATTTACCTCTAAAAGAACACTTAGTGAAATTAATGCTGCCATCTTAATTTCTCAGTAAAAGCCCTCTCCCATCATGTATTTCTTTTTACTTGGCTGATTGAGGATGCCAGCAGAGTGGACACGGGTTGCTTCACTGGAATAATCAAATGTCATTTCGCTCCATCGTTTTACACTAAGGGCATCACTGGGGTAAAATATACACACACTCCGCTCTGAACCACACAGGGATCCTTTTCAGTTTTAAATGCAGAGCGAGGGAGTCACAATGGAGCTAAACTTCGAACAAAATATCTCATCTACTGATTTGCTGCCATTGGGGGGAAAAAAGAACAAAATTTCCTACTAATCACCGTAAAGAAAATGGTGTAGAGCAGACATTTAAATAGAAAGCAATTCCTTTTAAAAGTGAGCGGTTCTTGAGCTTGAGCATTTCTCTAGTATCAACGGTGTGCATGGTTTTTTTTTTTTTAATTACTGGATGTTGAAACAAAACACCTCCTAAGAAGCATTCATGTGCATCAGTCTATCAAACCATTTACTCAAATTAAATGTGTAATCCCTCAAATGCCTCCTTTCAAATTAATGAGTTTAAGTAGCTTGAGTTCACCTGAAAAGATCCTATAGGCACCTGACCTCCTGAATTCTTTCCATTAATTGCACTGAAACTTGTTGGAAAAGACTGCTTACACTGCCATATGAATGTTCCTATACATTGCTTTAAAATGCAAGATTAGTATATTCTATAGTCTCTTTCCCTGAATCCTCTTTTGGGAACCAAGGGTAATGACACAAATGACAACAATAAACCCCAAATCTGAATATCCCTCAATAGTCAAAAGCTACAGATTCTACATCACAAACCACACACTAACACTGAGCAGCACAAGCGTCCAAGGAACAGAACATAAAGAGAAGCGTTACCATTAAGTTTTGGTGTTGTCTTTTCCTGTAAGCATTACAAGTCTTTAAACTGATGGGTAGTCAGCATTTTTCACAAGGAGACACAGCACAAAGAATTGGATCAGTTTTACACGCATAAAAAGTTTAAAGGTGCTTATGTAAATATCATAATCGGCCACCACATTAGGCAAATCATTTCTCACTAATTTCGCTTTTAAATCAACCTTTTGTCTCCATTCTATGTAGATCCCTACCTTGCCTTAAGAAAGCACCTTAACTCTCACTTGAAGTGTTTTCTTTTTAGCAGAGGGTCCGGTTGGGGCTGACCCCTTAAAAATTCTGGTCCCCGGAGTGCCCAACTTTTGCACATCTCACGGCACCAGACGGGCAGTTTTTATTTAGTATAGCATCCGCCATTCATTTGCCATTAAAAAAAAAAAATTCAAAGATTAACCCATGCCTCTTGAACCCCTTCAATTCAGCCAACCAGCAGGTTCTTGAGGTGAAGACTATCATGTCTTCTCCTAGGAGCTCTGCTCCCTTTCGGTAAAAACCCTTGGTAACCTTTGGCCTTGCCACTGCTCTACTTTCCCATCTTGGGAAGGGCAGCCAAGTCTTACCTAATGTAGTCATTTCTGCAAAGGATCATGCCACTCTTGGTGTAGCAGGACGTGCCGATGTCGCCCAGCTGCGCCTGGCAGCAGGAGCACTTGAGGCAGCGGCTGTGCCAGTAGCTGTCCATGGCATAGAGCAGAAAGCGGTCCGCGATCTTGCCCCCGCAGCCTGCGCAGCGCTTCCAGGAGAGGGAGCCGGCCGTCACCGGGGGCGGCTGCGAGCTGCTGCCCGGGTTCACCATGGTCTGCAGAAGGCGGGAAGGGGGAAAGGGAGAGAAATAACAAAACAAAAACACGGGCGATGCAAAAGTTAGTAAGTGCCTGCCGCGGGAGCTAGCGGAACAGTTCTCTCCCCCCCCCCCCCCCCCCCCCCCCCCGACCTGCTGGAAGGAAGCAGCAGCGGGGCAAGGGCGGGAAGGAGGGTGCGGGGAGAGAGGGGGAAGGAGGGAGGCTCGCCGGCAGCAGCCGCCTGTTTACTTTTCTCAAGCTTTGTTCTGAGGCCACGAGCTCCTCTCAACTTTCCAGCGCTCACCGCTGCCACTGACAATTCCAGCTCGGGGACTGTCAAAACTCCGAGAGCCAGGCTGGGCTGCGCGCTCCTCCCCTCGCGGCGCCTCCCCCCGGCCCCCGCCTCCGCCCACCGCCCTCCCCTCCCTTCCCCTCCCCTCCCCTCCCCGGGCCGCCCGCCTCCAGCAAATGAGGGTCAAACCCACCCACCGCTGCGCCCGGCCCCTCTCCGGCCCCGGCCGAGCCCCGGGAGCGAGCCGAGGGGAGCGGGGAGGCGGCCTCCGCAGGAGCCACGTTCCCTCCCGGGCTCTGCCCACCCGGGGAAGTGCAGCTGCAGTTCACAAGTTGGAAATAGTTGGGTTTTCCGAAAGGGGAGGGAGGGAGGAACGGAGGGACGGGCCGATGGGAGATGGAGAGCGTGGTGGTGGTGGTGGTGGTGGTGGGAGGGGAGGCTCGGGGACCCGAGAGGGAGAAGAAGGGAAGGGAAGGGAAGAGGGGGGGAGGTGGCGGGGGCGGTGTGTATAAAGTTGCGAAACTGGTTTTTCGTATTTTAAACAGCACCTTTTCACATGCCATTGTGGTGACCGCCATCTCCCATTATTGTCCCAAATCTCATTTCATTTTGAAGATCAATGAGTTGTTTTCTCTGGGTTTTCAGGACGCAGGCAAGCATAATAGATCATTGAACTTTAGGATGCCTGTTAACTTCCTCTACAAACACTCTCCACTTTGGTCTCCCTAATCTGCCCTTGATCAGCAATTTAAATGCTAAAGCTTTGTTCCTCCAAAGGAGTGGGGAGGGGAGGGTTGGGGGGGAGGGGAGGGGTACAGATAATATGGGAGAAGGCACTGTATTCAAGGATGCACAAGTTCCAGGCGAGCCAGTCCAGCTGCTGTCACCAAAAACTGCTTTTAAAAAATGCCCCCCTCTTCCTAATGAATGTCATGAGAGAAGCAACTGGGGTGTAATATGGGAATCAATTTATAAAGCTTAGCCTTAAACCGATTAATTTGTTGCCTCCAACCCGGAGTCCAATAAAGTCCCAGTGTTCCTCCAGTCACTTATTCTATAAAAAGATCAAGTTATTTACTGCCAATTAAGCAGCCTGTTTTGTCTTTGTCCTCTGTAAGCCGAGAGTGTGGGCTCCCCCCGGGCTCCCAGCTATCTGCTCAAGACATTCAGCTGATACCTCAGGAGGCAGAGGGCGAACTTTGCCTGTCCCCGGCCCAACTTGGCTGCTGAGAAAAAAAAAAAAAAAAAGGGAGGGGAAGGGAACGAAACAAGAACTCGGGTTCCTTAAATAGGCCGATTTTAAACACATTTCCTCCGAAAGAGTCCCGGAACGTGTGTCCAGAGACCGCACAATAAACCAGAATAAGAACTGCACCAATTAAGCTGTAACAAAACCCTGAGACTTTGGAAACAAGACCACTCTAAAACCCATTAGCATTGCATTTATCCGAATGCATCATACCTTTATGTAAATTGATTTATCTGATGCATTTACTCGAGGAATTGCTTTTTGTTACAATTTCAAGCCCTAACCCAAATGAATCTGCATTTCCTGCCCTGGGTCTTTAAACTGTTTCTCCCCCCCCCCCCCCCCCCCAACAACGTTTTAATCGCTCCGAATTCCTTTTTAAAAGGGGTGAGGGAGGGAGGAGATGGCAAGCTCTTTCCCCGCCCCCCTCTTTGGTGAGAGGTAAATATATATGTATATTTTTTTTTGAAAAGGAAACATTACACTGAGAAAAGCATCCAGTAACCCCATTAGCTAAAGCTCTTAAGGACAAGCAATACCTTAATGCTGATTAAATCTAAAAGAGATGAATCAAGAGGACTGACCAGAAACTGACTCCCCTGATAACTAAGGACGGGCCCTCATCAAGTTTCATTTAGAGTTGGAAAAAAAAAAAAAAAAGAAGAAAGCTTTTAAGTTAAATAGGCTTATACTCTTAGTAATTACATAGCCAAGCAATTTAGGTCCTGGGATAGTCAGTGAAATAGAAAGCAGAACTGGCAGCTAGAGGCAAAATCTGCCCCCCTTTTAACAGCGTCTCTGGTGTTTTTTAATGGAGACCAAGGGAGGGACAAACGCAGAGCTGGCAATTTGTAGCACAAAAATGGATGCTTAATTCATGTCTTGATTTTAATTAGGTGATCCACCGGGTTTCTCCTGGATTGGAACAAAAGACTTGCAAACCAGGAGGAAATTTTTTTTTTTTTTTTAAAGACCCAGCAATACGGAACCCTGCTCACTTAGATCCTTTTTTGCCACTGTTTCAAAAACAGTGTTTCCTAGAGGGGGTTGGGGAGGAGGAGGGTCGTGCCTATAAGCCCCCCCCCCCTCCCCAACACTACTTCTCACACTTAAACCCTCCATGCAGCGCCCGCTGCTACCTTCCCCTTAGGACCCGAAAACCTCCCCACCCCCTCCGAGGTCCTCCCCAGCCCGGGCTCCGAGAACCCTTTTGTAAGCAGGAACCGCTACAAAGCGGCGGCCGGCGCTGCCCTCCGCGCCGGCTCGCAGGCCGGCCTCGGTACTTTCAGACTCGCGCATTCCCCAAGCCAGCGCATTGTTGACTTGCAATCTGGGACGGTCCAGGGGGAAGGAAGCCCCAGGACACAGCGCCGGCCCCCGGCGGTCCCCTCCTCCCGCCCCCGGCCCGGGCTCCCCGGCTTGTCCCCTTACCTGCTTCTCCCCTATATTGGAACACTGCGAGAGGCGGCGGCGGCGGCGAAATGCGAGCGAGCGGAGCCGCTCGGCTTCCAAGGAAGGGGCGCCTCGGCCGGAGGGAGGGGGAGCACTTGCAGAACCAGGAAAGGGGAGGATGGGGCTACAGGCTTTTTTTTTTTTTTTTTTTTTTTTTTAACGCGTTGCTCTGAAGCCGGGCTGGGGGGACCCCCGCGTCCGCGGCAGGCGGCCGGGCACAGAAGTGTCCGTCTCAGTCCTGGTCCTCCGTCCGCCTCCGGCTCGGCGCGACAGCGGCGGAGGGAGCCCTCGGCCCGCGCGGCGCGGCTCAGGCGCGGGCGCAGCGGCAGCAACTGCTGCAATCGCGGCTGCAAGTTTGGCAATGTGGCTCCACTTTGTAGCTTCCCCGCCCGGCGCCCCCGCCCCCGCCCGCGCCCGCGCCGCCCGCTCCTCCTCCTCCTCCGCCGCCGCCGCCGCCTTCCTCCCTCCCGCGCGCCCGCTCGCTCCGGGCCGGCGGCGGCCGCACGGCCGAGACTCCTGCGCCTCCGGCCGCGGAGCAGCCGCTGCAGAAACAACAGCTCCGGGAGCGGCGGGTGCGGGTGCGGGGACCGGGGGGCGGGCCGCCAGGAGGCGGGGAGGGAGCTGCGGCCGCCGGGCCCGGCGCGCGGGAGGCTGCGCCGCTGCCGGGGCTGCTGCCCGGGTCGCCGCTGCGCTGCTCGGCGGCGGCGCTGGCCTCGGGCGGGCTCACTCGCTGCCTCCGCGCCCCGCACACATGTGTTACTGACAGAGCAGAACCCCAACTCCTCCCCGGCCCCGCCGCCGACGTCAGCGGCCCGCAGCCACTGGGCGGCCGGGTTGTTCAGGCGGAATAATAAAACCTGCCAATCCGGGCCGGGACAAAGGGAGGCCTGGAACGACACTCTGGGGGCGGGGGGAGAGGAGCCTGGCGGCGGGGCGGCCGCGGGAGGAGAAGGGAAGGAGGGCCGGGTTGCGGGGAACTGGACGCCGGAGACCAGCCCGCGCTGCCCGGGGTCGGCGGCGGAGGCGCGGGGAGCCGCACCTGCCTTCCGAGCGCGCGGGACACTCGGGGGACCCGCGCCCGTGCGCCCCTCGGGGATCGACCTCCCCTGCCGCGGAGGCGAGAGCCAGAGGAAACTTCACTTCACCTCTTTCTCAGAAATGGGTCTTTTTTTTTTTTTTTTTTTTTTTTTCCCCTGTTTGGGGGAGAAAACTCTTCCCCAAGTCTAAGGGCGGCGGGCTTCACACACACACACACACACACACACACACACACACACACACACACACAGGAGAGGTGGCTTAAAAAAATAAATCCACGGTGTTGGAGATGGATGAACCTGGCGGAAGTTTAGTTAACAAGGGAAAACCAATAAGGGAACCAACAGATCCTACATACTGCTTGCTTAACCCCCCTTCTCATTAACCCGAGTACAAACCAAATGCCTAGTAGGCACTTCATAGATATTTTTTTTATCAATTGTTGGTGATAAATAGACCACCATTCTTATTTTTGAGGTTGAGGAAAGAGCCTTGCTGGTCTATCCATCCTGTTGTGGAGGATGAGAGGCCGAATTCCTTGGGGCCCTCCAAAGCAATGGACAGTAATTGCAAAATCCGCAATCTCACCGCCGCTGGAGAGTAAGAAAGGTCACTTCCAGTATAAATCACGTTTTGAGGAATGCTTTTAGGGTACTAGGCTGGCAGTCTCTTTCCAGGGCCGAAGTTCAGCCTAGATGCTTGAATACCTAGTCATTCAACTTGATCTTCTGTGCCAAATAGGTTTAATAAATCCCTGATCTGAGGCTAATATTAGGTCTGATTATTATTATTAAGTTCCAGAGAGGTTTTTCTGGTGGAAATTATCATGAAAGTGCAAAGCCCTTCTGCTAAGTGTCATTAAGTAAAACCAGCCTTGTGGGACAAGTTTTCATATTGTATTACACAGCACTGCCGGATTGAGAAAAAGGAACCTGCAGGAGAATCTAGCTAGACAGTGCAGACGTTAAGCGCCTCTGGTTTTTGTGTCTGAGTGGAGATTTCTGTCTTTCAAACCATCAGAACGAAGCTGCAGAAGAAACAGTAATCATTGCCTATAACATGGAGCAGAGGACCTTTTAAAAACCTAGTTGAATACTCATTTCTTTATACTTCTAGCACCAAAATTAAATTAATTTTATTGATTGGTATTTAAACTTGCATTTTTATGATCAAGGGCTCATACGAAAAACAGGTTTGTTTTTTTAATCATTAAAACTATAGTAGTAATTAAAATAATCCCGTACTGCAAACAGCTGCAGATGGGTGTGATTAAAGAAGGTCAACTTAAAAGATGTAATATTCCTTGAAGGTTAGTAAGGAAAACTAAGTTAAACCAAATGAGGAAAGGAACCCCACGAACAAATAATGCACACATTTTAATTCCCTGGTTCAGTGTTCATTTGTTAGTAATTTATAATAGTCAAAAAGAGATGACACAAGATCTTAACTTACGATTTGTCATGTACAAATAAGTTTCCTCCTCCAGGCCTTAATAATGTTGTCATCTATAAGTTAGGGAATTAAACAAAATGGTCTTACTTTCTCCTTTTTAAAAAATTATTTTCTTATATGGAACACAATACATTGTTCTGTAATGGTGTGGTACTTTAAGTGTTTCCTGAAGTATTAATGCTACAATAAAATCTTTAAAAGGAAATGTTGGAGATTTAACCAGGCACATGTTCAGGTATCACCAAGTGATTCCTCAAAAGGATCCCCGTAGTTTCTATGGAAGGAAAGGAGGAAATGATGGGTAAAACTTTGAATATAGAACTCTAGTCTAGAAAGGGCCTAGCAGGTGGTTTTGGTGTTAGTACTATTCTGTGTGTAGTGAGGTCCTTACATATGTCCTAGTAAATTAGCGTGAGTGGCGTATATTACCAGAGAGCTTTATTTGCTGATGTTGTGGTTATAGAAATACAAAAGCGATAATGGCTAACAGTCTCTTCTGAGAGGTAGGGAGTAAATGCATTCACTGTAATCAAAATTCAGGTGTACTTTAACCACAGCGCCACCACTGGGCGATTTTTATTTTTGCATTCTTTGCATTTTGCAGTCCATCCTCTTCTGAAGAGCAAAATTTGTGGTATGAAATGCTTGAATGAAAAGCAGCGTCAATCTTTTATTTCAACTGGTACTAAACACACACGACTTCATGATAGGTAGGTGATTTCTCTATTCATGTATTCTTCAAACAAATATAAAACAGTGTTCAAAGGAGTAATTCCGGTATATAGTAAAATAACCTGAATTCAAAATAATAACCTTATATTGTGCCTAGAAGTTTCAAGAAAACTCTGCTGGCACCATACATTCATCATTCAGCCTGCTTACCTACAATGAGAAATACGAGTACATTGCTTTGGAAAAGAAAGAGAAACTCAAATTGTTTCTTTCTTGAGTCTTAAAGGTAGAAACCCTGTTGATGCTAGATTGAGCTATCATTTCCCCTATTTGCCCCCAAATTGTATGTCTGTACCTCCCCTTCTTTTTATTTAAGTCCTTCGATCATAACCATGTTTCCATTCTCCAAGCGACAGTTCTCTAAGGATCTCCCATGGACTGACAGAGGTTCCACACAGACCCATGTTGCCTCCATACCTTGAGCACAGCCAGATAATGTGATACTGAAATGGCAACCTTCAAGACAAAGTCCCCCAGCTCTTTCTCAAGAAAAAATATTTCATCCTTTTAAGGTCAATGCAAAACTGATTGTGAAGGCAGTTTTTTTTTTAGGGAGGAAATTTTAAAAAATATAATCTGCCTACCTTTATTGCTGCCATCACAGAGATCTCTTGAAATCTAAAAGTTCAGCCAAGGTGAATCAGCAAGATTGAGTCTAGGACAACAATTCCAAAAGGTTAAAGAGTGGAGAGAAGAATCAGGAAAGGCAGTTACCTCATCAAAAGAAGTGAAGAGGAAACCCAAGGAGGAGGAATGGCAGTTAGGTCCCTGCCAGTTTTGTATGATGTTGTTGGCTGGGGGCAGTACCGCACAATAAACAGTCAGGTAGACTGCGGCAGCATTTAAGGACAGAGGTTTAACCCTGGGTTGGTGACTCGGTTTGTTGGAGCATTGTCCCATACACCAAAAGGTTTTGGGTTCGATTCTGGTCTTTTTTTTAAAAAAGGATAGTGGTTTATAGAAACTCAACATATCAAGAAACTGTATTTCAAAGAACCATACTCTGGTTTTAAATATTGATAATATTAGTTTAAGTCTTTTAAAATCCCTAACCAATATTTCACTACATGTTTCCTGTGATAAAAGAGTTAGTTACTATATTAGAACATTCTTGTGTTTTTTTAATTTATCTATTTATTTACTAGAGGCCCAGTGCATGAAATTCGTAAAATGGTAGGGTTTCTAGCTGCTGCTGTCTGAGTACTCCCTTCCTTTCCCTGGCTGGCCCCCTGGTGGAACTTCTGCAAGAACTCCCAGTCGAGGAAACAATTTGCATACTATGCTTTTATAATATAGGATTCATTTTTTTTAATCTTCACCCAAGATATGTTTCTACTGATTTTAGATAGAGAGGAAGGAAGAGAGAAAGAGATAAACAAAAACAATGGGAGAGAGAAACATTGATGGGTTGCCTCCCTCACATGCTATGATGGAGGGCTGAATCTGCAATGTGACTTAGAATCCAATCCAATCCATGCCCCTTTGGAACATGCTCCAGCTAACTGAGTCACACCGGTCAGGGAGTTTTTGTTTTTTTTAAGCAATCCAAATATCTACATTTGGTAAATGTTCCATCAAATTATATTAATCAGTATTTAAGAAGTTCTATCCTAACCTCCATTTTATAGGGTGAAAAGCATAGTGAAATAGAGTTGTTACAATACAATAATTAGAAGATCACTGAGGAAACTGAAACAGCATTGATACTGTGATAAGAAAAATAATTTAACATTTGATTTTTCTTTTAATTATTCTATTGGATTAGGACATTCTATTGGAAACTCCTAAATATGATGGGAAAGTTGAAAAAGATGATGGTAAAAAAGGAAATATGTCTCTGAGAACTATTTTGCTTGACATACCAAGGCCACATTTTATAATGGCAAGAAATGACACTTTCTTCACATATATTAATTGAGGTAGGAACAGGACTTTTAAAATCCCCCAGATCTGCCTCACAGCTATCAGTAAATCTTGTTATATGAATATGCTTCATACTGATGATATCATAGGGAAAATATTTGGCTTATTGATACTACCTACTTCCAGGACTGAATTCTGTCAACAATATTCAAATACAAGTGATATTCTACATCTATTATTGCAAGTAAATTATCAGACTGTATACGTGAGTATATTAAATGTTCATTAGGATCTTCTAAATGATCTAGTGGGTTGACAGGCAATGCTTATTAAAGCCGAGTTATATTTTATTATGGATAAATTTAATTTTGTAATAGTTACAAAGGAGTGTGTGTAGATGTCTGGGCCATTTGTGTATATATGAGGTGGTTGTTACTAAAATATATATTAAAATTATAAATCCAGTAGAAAAATAGCAATTCCATTTAACATTAATTACAGTTCCCATCCAATATGATAAAAATGAGCATATATTGATGGAGAAACTAAAGCATTAAAACATAATTCATTCCCCCTTATGTTCCCACTAATTGTTCTTGGTAAAAGAAAGGCTAATCATTCAAAAATTTTAAGTTACCAAAACCACGTGTGTGTGTGTTTTTCGTTAGTGTCACTTTTA